GAGAGAGAGAGAGAGAGAGAGAGAGAGAGAGAGAGAGAGAGAGAGAGAGAGAGAGAGAGAGAGAGAGAGAGAGAGAGAGAGAGAGAGAGAGCAGCACCTTGAACAGGCATTTCTTCTTTTTTGCAAACGCAACCAAATTTCCCCAGTGTTCGTCGCGCTTGAGAGCAGCAGCACATCCAACCACCTGCCCGATTGAATGGAAAACCATCAGACGGGTCTCAATAAGCATCACAGAGTTCCCAAAAAAAAAAAAAAAAAAAAAGCATCGCACAGTAAATGCCAAAGTTACAAAATGGAGGACAGGTTGCTGAAGTACATTCACAAATTTCCAGAACACGTCCGAAAGACATATAGCTGCTGCGAGTCTTTCATGGGATTCCCACTTGCCCCCCCCCCCCCCCCCCCCCCAGAATAGATAGGGCCTTTGTTTTTTGGGAAAAAAAAAAAAAAAATCGACGTATAAAATCTTGGAGAAAGTTGTCTTTTAAAAAACTTCCAAGTCAAAACACTTGTCAAAGTTGTAAACAGTTTTCTCACTAACTTGTCCCTAAAATTCTAGGGGTAATTTCAAACGGTCGTGAACCATAGGCAGCAAGGGAAGCGAGGGAAGCGATATGACAATTGCAAAATTGCTAACTCCAAATGGGTCAACCATAAACCATCGCAGTCAAATTACAGTTGTGCTGTTCTCTGTTAGTGACCAGCAAATCCCTGAGGCCCTTGCAGTGACTTCTTCTTCTTGTTCTTCTTGTTCTTCTTGTTCTTCTTCTTCTTCTTTTTTGAATTTTGAACCAGTGACCACTACTAGAGGGGGTGATAAGAGCAGCCGCCTCTAATCTTGCAAATCCATTGAGGAAAAATCCATGCAGTCCTTGCAGTGACTGAAGCTCATGGTTTGGATGTTTTCACATGATCCACAACAGATAAGGCTGAGAGGCGTAATCCTAGCAGTCTGTATGTTTTCACATGTCAAGTCAAATTTTATTGGGGCACATTACAACTAGAAGAGGAAGGGGAAAAAAAGAAGAAGAAAAGTAAGCGGGAGCGCCAAAACCATAGAGAGAGGCAAGGATTGTTGTCGCCAGCATTGGCAAAGCAGCCAGCCTCACAGATTTGAACACAAAAAGATGGGGCCTTGACTACCTACTCACGGAACAAAGAAAAAACACGAGTGCATCTTTCCACAGATGCAGGCAATATGCATGTGTTACTAGCGATCGTAATGGATGTATTTGGTCATTTGCATTTGCATTACTTACCAGCATCGACGTTCGCGCTCTTGTTAGCCCGACGTTCATTCTTCGAAAATCAGACACAAATCCTATTCCCTTGTGCTTGTTCGATCTGACGCATGAGAAAATCGCCAAATCCTTTTCACGACCCTGTGTACCAATCAGAAAACACAAAGATGAAGTAACATTGAAGTTTCATGAGCTTAAAAGCAAAAAAGAAAGATAATGAGTATTAAAGACGAAGTCGTGAATAATATGATCAGCAAAATACCGACGATCCTAGCTCAGTTGCTACACCCATGAACTGTTGAAAACTGAAATACAGACCCGAGTTCCAATCCTGTGCAATGACATAATTCTAGAATCTAAATTACCCGAGTCCGGTCAGCTCGACTATGATATCTAAAGGCCGTTGTTGCCCTATTAAAAAGAGAGAGAGAAAACAAAAAAGGAAAAAGCTGTGTAGCATCGTGTTCGGGTTCGGTGTCCGAACCCGAACGTTCGTGACCGAATGCGAACGAGCACTAAAACCCTCCGAACGTGAACATTAAAAAAAAAAAAA